TTTTTTTTTCTTGCAACATCGAAGCGGGTGCGCCAGGCAAACAGGAGAGAATTTGTCCCGACGACAGTACACAAATAAGCAAATAAGTGAGGTGCAGAAGAAAATGAAGAACCAAAGAGCGCCCCAAGACAACAAAAAGAAAACTCAACTCTGCCCACGCCCATGCTGGAACTTCACTCAACAGTACAGTAATAGTGTCGATCCATTTCGTTCTTTGTTGGCCCCGTAAGCGTGGGCGCTACACCATAAATCGAACACAACCTCATGAGTGCCGGTACCGGCACTAATGAGGGATTGGCCAGCCCTCAATAGTGCCGTTTTGGCACCATTCGCAATAGTGCCGGGTGCCCGATTTAGTGCCGGTGAACGCTCTGTGCACGTACCGGCACTAAAAGGGTCCCTCGACTGTATTAGAATCGACGGCGCCAACCGGCTGACCAATGAAAAGACGTCAGTCTCAGTGAAAAAACACAAACACTCCTATCTGCCATGAACTGGGACAAGTGAGGAGGCAGCATGGGGGAGGCTAAACCATCCTTCGGATCAAAGACAGAAACAGCAGCAACAGAAGAAAACTGCACGCGTGTGTGTGTTCAGCCGTTCTGCCTGGAAGCCACCAGCCCCGCGGGTCAGAAGGCATTGCCGTCCCCTCACGAGCATAGACTATGCCCAAAATGTTTTTTGATCCAGCCAGCAGACAGAACACGCTACCCTACAGGTCATGTTGCTGGATCACATCAAACGCATGCAAGCCTGTAGCGCCAACGCAAAACGCATCTTACATGCATTCAATTGCTCTCACTCACCCGGTTATCGGAACGATGTCTCTTGAGGTCCTCGGCCCCGTCCTTGATCATGGTTACGCTGAGCACGAGGATGAGCGGGATGAGGGTGGAGAAGGGCGCCAGCGGGCTCTCGAACAGATCGGTGTACCAGCCGAGCATCATCAGCACGCTGATCACGAGGAAGTAGACGTTCGCTATCCGCCGGAACTGCTCGAAGAGCGACCTGGGCACGAAGGTGATCACGTTGTACTTGGAGGTCACCACGCTGTTGTCGGCCATCGCGCTCTGCTCCTCTCCTGCGATGACGCCCTCCCGGAGGATGTCGATCGTCCGGAAGGGCTTGATCTCCGGCCGCGTTAGTATCGCTCCCATGATTGGGTCTGGAAAAAACGGGAACGGCTTCGCGTAGTAGTCTTGTTGCTGGGGAAGATTGTTGTTGTTACGGCGGGCGACCTGATCTTTTTCCTTGCTGAGCCCCGCTTCCACCCTCCTCCCTAGAAGGCTGGAGAGGTCTCTGCAAGAGCCGTGCGGGCGGAAGAATGTGAAGAGCTTGGGGCTAGAGGAGGTGGCTGGTGCGGGCGTGCTGCGGCCCGGGCGTCTATCCGACGCAGCAGCGGCAGTGGGGCTCGCGGCAGGCCGTGCTAAAGGGGTGACCTCGCTTTGCTCCACCCGCAGCAGTAGCCAAGACGCCCTCCGAAACCACGGCCTTGCCACTTCTCACCATGCAATGCCCTTCCCCTTTCGAAAGGAAGGAGTGCGCTTCACCTTCACACACACCCTCAGGCCACCCCCGGCTCTGCTAGCCGTGTGCACCCTTTCCTATCACTGCACAAGACTGCGCTCGAGAGATGTTTTTTTTTTTTCGGCGCACGTTTTTTTTTTTCTTGTCACACAACAAATCCATCTCCATCTATAGAAATGAGTCCAAGATAGATTGGCAATGAATCCATCGCGTGAGCGAAAAACTACCTGTATGTCTAATGTTTGCCAGACAGCATACAACGATACCTCCCCTGTGGATAACAGGCTCAACAAGGCAGTTTGGTAGCCATCTTGTGTATTTTCAATTCAATATGTATTTTTGGATAGGGGTACATCAGAACGCCTTCCAAGCCCGATATTGGCGGTTTCGGTATCGTCCAGCGTCGATCGAGGAATGGACCCGGCATCAAACGCACAACAACCAAAATTCTGAGAGAGTGGAAGAGAGGCTCTTCACACAGGAAATACTCAGGCGGTATGTGCCGAAGCAGCCGTTCACGACGAAGTACGCCTGAGTGCACCACAGGCTTGCTTGTACGCTCGTGAGCCATTGCCTATTACTCGCGAAGACGTGCCGCGTTGACCGGTCCATCAACGATGTTCATCACGCGTTTGAGGAGAAAGACGCAAATAAGAAGGCGGAAGGGAGAGCGCGAGACACTCATAGAGGACGCAGTGCGATTTCAGGTGAACTCAACGCGCTTTGGGGGGCATGGACTGTATGTCTACTACTAAACCCAATGAAGAATCCTCCTCTGTAGCATACACGCACGCTATGGATGTTTTGTGTTGCGTTTTTGTGTTGCGTTCGTTCAGTGTCGGCCTTCTGCACTGGTGTGCACTTGAGGAGTGACTCTCATCACGTATCCCAGAAGTTCGGGTGAGATGTTCGCCAAATGGGCAGAGCCAGTTACGTACAGACTACAGACCAAATTATTTTGCGCCGGAGTGTACATCTACTACTGGCGGCCGTAAAGGCGCGGCCAGTAGACTAAAAAATACCAAAGACTTCGGCGCCAATAATTGCCTGATGGCACATGACGGTGTATACCACACCCCCACCATCGAATAGTCTACTACCCTTGTTGTACCCAAGGAGGCCTAACAAAAATATTTATCCGTGCGCGTGGAAAAGTTTGCTTCACGGCATGGCGTGTGTCCCGTGGATATTTCGTGCTGTCTGAAATAAGGGAGATGTAGGCCAAAGAGACCAATCGTGCTTGTCTTGCGTGTCACCCAAGCACACCCCGGTCGCCCCGGTGGTCTAGTGGGTAACCTCGCAGCCTGCTAAGGGCCAGGTCATGGGTTCGAGTCCCGGCAGAGAGAGTTTTTTTCTCACTAAATAAATCCTGGTCTAGGATGAAAGCGACGCGCTGCAAAGCTCTTTTGTTAGTAAACCATAATCGACTTCGTAAGTCGCGAGGGAAGGGATTGCTGTACCCTTCTCGCGATAAAAATACCTCAGGCATGAACCGCAGGAGGGGGTCCAACCCCCCCCTCCTATGTGACCCCGGTTGGGTCGTCTAGCTAGTAGAAGTGGAGGATAGGGGCCAGAGGGGCAGACGACAGAGTCCAATGATGGGAGAAGAACAAACAACAACAATAACAAACAACTTCACGGCATGGCGTGTGTCCCGTGGATATTTCGTGCTGTCTGAAATAAGGGAGATGTAGGCCAAAGAGACCAATCGTGCTTGTCTTGCGTCTCACCCAAGCACACAGAAAGAAACATATCGTGCGTATCTGTACTGCTGTGCAGTCACCGATGTTGTTACAAGTTTCTCCCTTGGTCTGAACGTCTGCATGGACGTTCTGCACAGGACCTCGCGGTATCCAAAACCCAGGAGAGGGGGGTACCGGTGCCCAGCAAGCTTCTGCGGGAGCTGCAACGGGGGTCGGAGCAGCGAGACGGCGGGAAGCGACTATACAAGTTAGATCTGCGACGGACCCAGTTGACAGATGCACATGTGAGAAACAAGCAACAGAAGCAGCACTGATGTACGCAAGACACACACTCGACGGTGCCAGTAATGATGAGGAGAAGAACAGCTTGGGTATGTGGGGCAACCCTTTTGTCGACGAATCGAATGGCTGACTTTGGAGAATACAGAATGGTATTTGGTTGTGCGGGCGTGTCAGTTTTTGTCTGATCTTGAGACAATTATCCGTGTAATGAACTACTATTACACAATAACAGAGTAGACTCGCTGTCTACTGCTTGTCCTCGGAGAAAACATATGTTTTATCTAGACTAACTGCACGGCAACAGCCCTTCCTCGCGCAGCAAACTTCTTGAGCGCATGGAACTCATTCTGTTCGTTAGTACTCCCGCAAATGCCGAGACTGAAACGGGATGGGATATATTGTCGGACAGGTGGAGGCACTAGCACAGGCACTGCAGGAGCTTCCAGTTGTGCGCAAGCTCGACCTTCGGGGCAACGAAGCCCTTACAGTGCAGGTGGGGGATCTCAACCTGTGCGCTGCCAGATTCATCGAAACCTGGCAATCTTCCTTACGTGGTACTTTCTTCGTGAATTCAACGAAAGTCTAGTTTGTGTACGCCCCCGAGTACTTCGTAGAAAATCAGAATCCGCGCGGCAACCATGAATGAGTTGGCGCGCCTGCCTCAGATCCCTTATCGGCCTCGCTAGGTGCATTCGAGCAGACCATGTCACAGACATCAACGGTGTTTGAAAGGAGTTAATCTGGTCTCCATCTTTACCTCCTTCCAAGCACACCCCTGCCCCCCGTTTCAATAAAAAATCCAGGCGCTCAACGCCCTCAACTCGCTCCTCAAAGGCCAGGTGGAGTTGTTCCGACTAGTGCAAGCCGATGCCAGGTCAGAGAGCACCCATCAAGCACCACCGAAAGGCTTCGACGAGTTCGCCCCCCCTACCCCCAACTGAATTGCTCGGAATATTGATGGAAGCAGTTCTAGATACCATGCAATGTCCTCTCGTCGATTGGCGGTCACCGGGATATGCTGTTGTTCATATTTAGGGAACTCCTCGACGAACCCTGGATAGATACTCTATTGATCGGAATGCGAGGTGGGAATGCATTGCCCGCTCGCGCCTCGTTTGCTGTCTTTCAGTAGCACTTGTACCTTCAACGATACTCACCCTATACAGACCCGTTGTTTGAAAATGAAGCACGCAACGAGGTCGAGCGGTTGCGTGAGCAGTTCAGCACCGGCCGAATGTCTCGCTTGCAGAGCTTGCCGATCTCGTTTAAAAGATACGAGGCGTGGGTTGATCGACCGACCTATCATGCGCTCCCACCATCGCCTAAAAAACTGGTAAACAACATCTCAACCGAACACCAAGCCACTCAACAAAAAACAATGCTACCATAAGAACTTCTCAACACAAGCTTGAATATCTACCGCACTCCGAACCATCAACCAGCTTGGCCGACTCCAGCCTGAGCTTCTTGTACTCCGTGAAGCTGGACACAAGGGTGCTGTCGCTTGACCAGCGAGCGGCAGAGGAGCTGGAGGCTCAGACAGTCGCGCTGGAGGTCGCCGACTCAGTGCTTGACGTCAGGCACGCTTTCTTTCAGGTGTGCCCCTTGCCTTTCGTACCTTGAAAGAACAAACGAACAGGCAGGTAACTCTAGGTATGGTTATTGCGATATCTCTCGCGCCAGCCACCACATCTGACCTTCTCGTGGGTGTCATGCCCGCCGTCGTCTTCCTCTGCTTAGTTTCGCTCCTCGCTTGGTTGGTTCAGCTTCCGGAAGAGACGATAGAGGGAATTCCTCTTTGGGTTGTGTATCGCACGTATTCACGCAGACGAACTACAGTGCGTGCAAGATAGAGTGATTGCCATGTTTGGTGCGCCCCTTCTCCTGCCAGGCCGATGTAAGAGGGTCGGGAACCCTGACGGAGCACGAGCTGAGCGGCGCCATGCGGATCGTCATGGGCGTGACGCCGAAGGCCGCAGAGACTTCGCGCGTGCTGCGGTTCTTCGGCGCTCCGGGAGCCCAGGGTAAGCTCTACGGTGAATTTCACCAGGGACGAGAATAAAATAGGCACGTCATTTGTTGGATTGGGAATGTGGTAGAGGGTTGCGACAATAGCCTACCTACTTCGAAGGCGATCGGCCGTCAAGCCATGCAAACGATTGCGGTGTAGTGGTTGAGTGTGTTGGGCTTGCCTTCTGCCCCCCCCTTCCCCCCCTTGTCAGTACTCTACACCCTCTATCTGCGGTGAGAGAGCCACGACAACTTGATAACTTGCTCATTTCTGTACGGGCATCGCCCCGGATTACCCTTCTGTTTGTCCTTCTTCGTTTGGTCCACTGCTTGTCTCGCGGCAATCGGCCTGTCCTGTAGGGAACGACCCGAACGTAATAAATTTGGGGGGATTCGAGGCGGCCATGGTGGGGAGGCTACGAGAGTCGCACACCCTGCCGGTGCTGCCTCAGAGGCGAGACGACCTGCTTTTCGGATCGGCGGGCGGCGAAGAGGGCCAGGTGATAGAGCCCCGGTAGTACTCCCATTCAAGCAGCTGCCGCCGTGCATTTTCTATAAGGTTCATTGCGTGTGACCTTGTTCTTCTCAACCCACGGGCTCCGATTTGAAGTGCTTTTACCCGTATTTTCAACGTTCGGTGCGGTTCTAGGAGAGCGAAAAAAGAACGGGCGACGGCTTCCACAAATGCGAACACTTTTGTTTTCCAGCCAGTCCACTCCCGGTTTTTCAAGTGTAACTCGTGAATTGATGGAAAACAAGGGGGGCGGCTGCTTAACACAGCCAAAACCCCTCACGTCGTATTAATGGTCGGGAGGAAAGGAGAAAATAATGTTGAAGCACCGCAGCAAACACCAGAGCGCAGCATTCGATCCCCTTCGAAAGCCTAAACTTCCAACAGCTTGCGCGGCAGTAAGAGACAGAACTCGTGATCTTTCGGGAGGTTCTTAGCAACAGGGTAGTGGCACCCCCACTTGGGGCAACACCAAACGGTCCAAAGCATGTAGGGCAAAGTGCGCAACTGGGATGCTGTTGTGCTTCTGAATGCTTGACCTCGACCTCATCTTCCGCATCTCCATCGTCATGTCAACCCTGGCCTCTCTCCGCAATCTTTGGTATCTTTCGGACTAAATCATCACAATCACCACGAATGGAGAGCCTGGAGTGCTTTTCTCCTTGGAGCACTCGCTCCTTCGGTGCCACGACCGGTGGCATTCGCGGAGACAAGGGCGGTGGGGGCGGCGTCGGGAATAAGCGAAGCCCTTTGTCGGCCTCTCAGAAATTTTCGCCGGGGGCGGGGATGGGGACGCACGTGCTCCCCCTACCGCCGTGGCGCGGAGGAGAGGGTGGGTCCGAGCTGAGCAATACGCAGAACGACGACGAAGGGCAGAGCCAAAGAGCGGAGAGGGACGATACCGACTTGGAGAACATTTTCGACGACGACAATTGCGACGGGGTTAACAACAACGACGGGGCTGAAGACGCAGCAGCACCGAGGTGCGTAAGAGACACGAGCCGAATCTCCACTAGAGACAGTGGCAATGGCAGGGAGAGGAGCAAGCGAGGGGGGCGAAGCAGCACCGGCAGCCTTGAAACCGACACGAGGGAGGAGAAAGAAGAAGGGCACCAAGAACCGGCGCGACAGAGGCGGCGCGAGGGAGTCGCTCTCGTCGCCCACGAGAACATCGAACTGATGAGCAGCGCGGCTCGCCTGGCGGGGAGTCGCTTCTTGAACGGCGATGGAGGTGGCGACACCGAAGATGACGTCCTCTCTGACTGCAGCAGCGACGATTGCTTGTCTTGTACCTCCGCACGCGCGCAGAGTACCGGGAAAGGGACGGTGAACCAGAACGGCGGACGACTTCGAACCGAGCATCCAAATTGCTCAAGAGAAAAAAACGGCAGCGGGGGCGGTGGCGGCGACCCCAAGTCCAACACTGGAAAAATATCGGATTGGAGACGCCACAGCTCTAGCCCGGCCGCGCGAGGAGGTCCAACATTCGACGACCGTAGCGGCAGCGGCAGCAGCGGCGGCGGCGGTAGTAGAAGCGTGTGTTTCTCGGAAGATCGACCGAGTGGAGGCCGGCGGGTTAGCGATCCGTCGCGGTCTTCTCATTCAGGAGATGATAGCGCGCGGGAGCCAGCGGGGTCTAGTGCCTCGACCCACGCGAATCCCGGACGACGGCATTCTATTCTTAAGGGAAAACAAGGCCGCGATGACGCAGTTCGCCGGGACTTCGGGGATCAGACCCCGCCGTCCACTACCCAAACCGTGTCCGTTACAGGAAGAGGGGATACCGTCGCTGCGGGATCAGCAACAGCGTCGCGCTCGAACGCCGTCAGGGAACATCAAACGGGGGCAGTGAGGACAAACCTCTTATCGGAAGAAGGAAACGTCACCGTCATCAGCATGACTGATACGCACAAGGAGACGGCAACGTCGAGCGCAGCGCCATCCAGGGCTGAGCCCCTGGGAGAAGAACTGGCCACACGTTCACGGCTAGCACAAGCGTCGCCATCGACCACAACTGATGGAGGAGGAAGCGACATGCTGGCCGGACGAATTCTTCTCAACGGCTCTGAACGAGAACCCCATCCCAGAGGCGTGGTCATCGTCGATGGTGAGACTGGCACGTCGGGGGTACCGACGAAGGCAGAGGCAGCAAGCAACGGTTACCCGGAAAAGAAGGACGCCACCGTGGGAGAAGAAGCTACCCCAAGCCTCGTTGGGACTTCCGAGACGGTCACTACCGACACTAGGCCGGCTGCTTTGTCGTCGATGTCAGCCGTACCTGCGACGGCAGCGACGGGCGTAGTGGCCAGGACGGAAGCGGTAACGGCGAAGAAACAGGAGCAGGACGAGGAGGAAGTAGGACCTACCACGGCTACCTTGTGCGAGCAGCGTCGGCGGGCGGAGGATGCGGGTGATCGGCTGGTCGTTCCGACGCCGCCATTAGAGCTTTCAGGAGGGAACCTTCTCGTTGCAATGTCTGCCGAAATTGCAGAACCGAACACTTCTCTAGGCGAAAGTAGAAGCGGTGGAGGATCACCAGGCGCAGCAGCAACTTCGAACGCCGCCGCCGAGAACCAAGTCCGCGGCGGCGTGGTAAGGGATAGCGTGTTGATCGCCGGCGCCAAGCGCGTCTGGGCGCCGCAGGGGGCGGCAACAACGCTGCTGCACGCAACGTCGGTGAATTCTACCGGCGCTCGCACTCCAGGTGGAGCGGGTGGCGTCCCCGAGAACGATCGAGTGGGCCGGTCCGCGGGATTGTCTCTGGAGGCCATCGTCGAAGCGCCCGGCTCAGGAGGTGGCGGTGCTGGCGGTGATGCACCTGCGTCCCCTGCTGCTGGCGCCTCCACTCTTGCTCTAAACTACAGCAGTAGTGGCGGTGGAAATGGCGGCCCCATACGGATGCCGTACTGTCTTTCTCCCACGAACTTGGTGCGTCAAGCTCGCGGCGGTTCCGGTGCGGCTGCAACGGCTGCCTCCAGCTGCAGGGAGAGGGAAAGCCTTGCCGCTCGAATTCAGCGTTTGGGGGACATCAACGCCGCTGCAACAGCCAACGTGGTCAACCCAGCGGCGCAAAACTGTTCCGTTTCAGAGAGTGGGTTCGCTGCACTCAGCGGCCACAGTGAAGGTGGAGGGGGTGCCGCAGGAGGAAGTCCACAATCTTTTGCCCATGCCGAGCACCCCCGACTGACATCGTCGGGGAGAATGCCGACGCCATCCGCTTCCTCTCACGGGGGAGCATCACCCGAACGACCACGTCGTTGCGGGTTGCTCGTCCAGGATGGCGGCGAGGGAAAGGGCTATTGCTCCTCACCGTCACCATCCCCGCGGTTCCACCTCCCCTCTAGCGAGACAAAAACGGCCCCCCTGTGTGGCGCCGGGGGGTCTACTTGTTTGTTTGAAGGCCACGTCTTGAGGGCTGATTCTGAGCCAGTGCTACGGCGGGCCGGGGAAAGGGGGTCGGAGGCGAAAGGAAAGACAGGGAGGGGCGAGGGCAGGGAGACCGACGACATGCTATCTTCGCCGGCTGGGGTCCTTCAGCTAGATGAAGAGCAGCTCGGGGTGAGTGTTGGCGCGTAGGCACATGCGGTCGGAATCGTTGTGACTTATTGCAGGCGTATATGGAGCGTTAGCGGTTGATGTTCACACCGCCGACGAAAGATAACAGTCCACTGACGAAACTAGCTGAGCTCAAAGCTCGAACCTAGTAACTTGTTGGGGGTAATCGCTATTCACACTGTTGATATGACTTGACAATACGGCCCTTATTGATAGTTTTGATGTTCGAGTTTCATCGGTGTTGACACTTACGGGACAGCTCACCATGCGTGTCGTACAGCTACGGATCAACGAGGGGGCTCTTGTCATAACTCGTGCCGGACTTGCCAAGATGTCTACCTTGCTACAGCTGGAGGCCGTGTACGGATGTGGACGAGAATCTCTCATTGGTCTACACACACTGGTTCTCAGCTACAACCAGCTCCAGGTGAGACAACTACTTCGTTCCAGTTCGTTCCCAAATAATGCACTCTCAAATAGCACTGGACAATTATCTGTCGTTCAGAGTACAGCGACAAATCGAATCTTGATGCGGAAAACAACCGCTGGTCGGACAAGGCACGCGACCATGGCAACCCCCCCGACCAGCCTATTTAGGCTCGTTGGGAGCGACTACCCCAGCTCCCCCATTCAAGAACCGCGTGTTTCGCAGTCAAACCAATTACACAGGTCGGCTCGGCACAGCTCCTGAAGATTTGCATGGTTGAAGAAAAGAACAGCAGTCGCCTTTCGCGTAGCAGGTTCGAACATGGGTATGATTACAACCAACACCTCGACAACGGGTAAAACGAAGGGAACCCCCCGTCGATGTTCACGCTAAATATATTTGCGGTTCGCATCATGCATACGCAAGCGGGTGTTCACTCAACGACTTGAAACCACCGGCGCTCCTCCCATCGTTTTCAGGTGCTGGACATCTCCGTCTTGACGACCATGCCGGCGCTCCGGCACCTCGACGTCAGCCACAATCTTCTCTGCCGAATGGAGCCGATGGACGGGCGAGACCTACCTCCACGGCTAGAAACCCTCAACATGAGCCACAACCGGATATCGCGCATTGGCGGGATCACACAGTGTTTCCTTTTGCGCGCTTTGGACCTCCGGCACAATCGTATCAAGGTCGGTTCGTGTGTGGTTTTCGTCTCGCGCGTGGGCGATCGGTTGGATTGGGGTGACTGCAAGCCCCCCTCTCACTTTGTGCAGCTCTAAGCCTGTGTCTACTGTACATGGCTTTCCACGAGTTTTCGCCCAGCCCTTCTGCAATGATCGATGGGAGGAGGTGCGCGAGTGGGCGGGCATTGCAAAGGATCGTAAAGTTCCTAACAGTTTGAACCGCAGCTTCAAGCCTGACGCGCAACACGCCTGCATATTTCTCTGTACACCCGGTCGTGAACGATATCCTTCAGCGCGCCGAAGGATGGAAGTTTCGTGAATTGCTTTTCCCATACCCCGATTCTAAGCCCTCCTCTCAAAACATACCACGCACCCCCTCCCCATTCCCCCTGTGACGCATGCGAAAAAAACAGCGCGTCCAAGGGCTCGAACACCTGTCCCTCTTGCTTCAGCTCGACCTGGGCCACAACCTCATTTCCAAGGCGGCCTCCGCGCGCGCGCTCAGCTTCAACCGCTCTCTCAAGCTGCTCTGGCTCGAGGGCAACCCCCTCGCGAGACATCCTCGGTATCGGCCGACCCTGACGTGCCTGCTGCCGCACGTTCGCTCCATCGACAGCCGGGCCATGCCACCCACCTCCGACTCAGACCAACGGCGGTGGGAAGCCGGTGGTGGTTTAGCGGACGAGGAGGAGGGAGGCGATGGTGGCAGCGGCACAGTGGCGGCAGCCGGACATGCGGCCGCGGCGAGGGGACATCAGCGCGGGAGCAGCGGTAACACCAGCGTTTCTAGAGAATGGCAGGCAGAACAAGACATGAGACGATCCAAGGAATGGCAGCAGGTGAATTTCTTGTTCATGGGTGATGTTTTCGACCTTGGTGTAAGTGTAGTTTGGCTTTTAAGTGAAACAAGGAAACACAAGTGTCGTGATGTTGGGTCCCTAAGACTGAAAATGTGAAAATAAGCACAACCACAACCAAAACCAATACCAAAATACGTCTGACGGAGGAACGTGTATGTTCTTATCAACACCTACCTTGCGTTGCAGAGTAGGCTATGCTAGCACTACAACCCTGTCCCACCCGACTGAATCCCAGGTGATGGAATGGCGAAAGGACCAAGCGCGGCGCGAGGAAGAGGCCAAGGGGCAAGCATTGGAAGGCAGACATGATGCGCGACAGGCAATCAATGTGAGCAAGCGAGTGGGTGATCAAGGTGTTGGGAACGGTTCACTATTTATTGTATGTGCCCGACGGCCGGGGCAGGGTCAAACCTGCCCTAACAATGCTGTCTGGTCCAAATTAAGACTTCGACGTATAGCAAGAAGTAAACAAATATCCCATTTTCAGGCAACAGGCACCTGCTACCAGCAGAGAAGCCCCCCACGAGCATTTCCTCCCAAATCTTGAAGTACCGCAGCAACAAATACTTCACAAATGCTTGATGACAACTATATTTCCCCTCACGCCCCGCCCCACTCTGTCTCTCTCCCCAACCCTTTTCTCTGCGCCTGACCTTAGGCTGCGCAGCAAAGGCGGCAGGCGGAAGAGCTTGCCCGCCCGCGCCCCCGCAAGTGCCCAAGCGAGGAGGCCATCAGCAAGGCCAAGGAAGTGGCATGCCGCCGGCCTGCCGTTGTTTTCGGGATCAGCTACAGGGGCGAGAGAGAAAGGGGCACGCATGCTAGTGATGCTGCGTACGCGGCATCAGCCGGCATGGACACGGCGAACTCACCACCGTCGCCGCCCCGGAGCAAAGGCCATGAGCAGCACGGACACCTGTTCGACGCTGCTACGGACGGTTATGAGCTGCGTGGCAAAGGTCTTGGAGGCGGTTGTGACGGCGGTTTGGATCGTCGGGAGGAATGCATCCAGTCCTGCCACGGAGCGGCAAGAGAACACGGAGCGGATAGCGTTCGAGATGTTCTTGGCCGCCAAGAATGGACGACGACCTCCCCTCCCCTCCAGGACAACGACGAGTCGTTGCAGCAGGCGTATCAGAACAGTGGTGGTGATGCACCACCGCCTCCACATTTGCTACCATCATCTCGCGGTCGAAGCTCCAAGTGGTCCTCGGCCGGTGCCGAAGAAGAATACTACACTCCCACGCCGTCAGCGCCGGCTATGATGGCTGTTGACAGCGGCGGCGCAGCAGCTGCCAGAACCACGGTGCAAGCAATGAAGGCTCCGGAAGACTTAGAGGGGGCTTTATCTGAATCTCCCAGGGCACCAGGACACGAGAGAAATAAGCTGGTAGATAGCTGGCTACTGGACGTCAAGCTTGAGACGGAGACGGCAGGGACTGCGTTGCAGGAAAGTTCGTGTCTTACGTTGTGCCAGCAAGTGGACCGTTGACACTGCTCAAACCCCAACGTTGGGGCACGCGGCTTAGTAAGGATGACCACATCACGAACAAACGTGTACTGTTTCCCAAAGACTGAAACACTGCGCAAAGCACCTCGTTATCATCAACGGAAACAGACGTGGTATACCTTCCGAGGCTCGTCCTTGAAAACCCACCCTGCCCTTCTTTGCCAAAAATTCGTCACCACACTCAGGTTCTCCTCAGGATGTGCAAGGAGCGTGGCCGTGACACCGACGGCGAGCGACGGCGACTGTCCAGCTTTCGTACCGCGCTGGAGGGGATGGGACTGTTCTCTCCGCAGCACGGGCCGACGCCGACAGAGTTTGTTGGAGACAAGGCCGGCGTTCTCGCGGACAAGGTCGCGGCAGTTGCAAGACAGTGAGTATAGCACGTTTCGATGACCGCGATCTCTAGTTGTAAACCGTTAACGCAAAGTAGGGTGTCAGCAGTTTCGGGTGCAGCGTGGACGTCAGAGGTTCTCTTCGTGCGTGTGCCCATCTAACGTTTATCCAGGTGGTCGGCATTGGTGAGGACGCTCCCATTCCGAGTGACTTGTATCAACTTTGTCAGCGTTGTAGGTTGGCCGGGCTTGCAGCATGGGATTCGTCCTCTCACTCAACCGCTCGAGAGATGAAGCACGCTGGTGTTCTGACAACTTAAAAATACGTGCATTAGGTTCACCCGCTCATTCGTTGCCGCTTGTTTTTGTCCGATCTCTTAGACTAGGACAGACAATGTATCCCTCGCTTTTCCGCAACCATCCCTGCAACGTCCTCAGAAACAGAAACGAAAAGGAGATAATTTTTGTGAGATGTTTTTTTTCTTTCTGGTAGGGTGGCCATGACGAAGGCGGCGGTGAAGAACCTGTTGCGGCTCATGGAAAGCGTGGAGCCCGGCGACGACGGCAACGCGGAACTCGACCAATATGCCGAGTTTATCCGACAGCAGAGAGAAATTGTGATCGGTGTCGGTGGCCACCCCAACGCTGACACCAGCAGCCCCGAAAAAAAGAGAGAGCCGGCGACTGCTGCTGCCGTGGTTCAACAGGGTGAAACCTCCGACTGCCATAGAAGCCTGCCAGGACAAGGCGAACCAGAAGGAAGAGCCCACGGCAATCCCGGGGCCGGCGTCGCCTTGCCTTCTTCCTCCAGCCTGTGCGCCACCGCCACCACAGCTGCGCGCGAAGGCCCGACCTCTCATGACCAAAACGACGTATCTGGCTCTGAGGAGAGGGTGATGGCTACTGGAACGGAGGGAATAGTTGAACCACCGTGTGGCGGTGCCGAGTCCGTCCATGAAACTGATGCCATCGACGTTCTCGTCCCGCTTGGGCTTGGTCAGGAAGCTTCGGCGCGTTGTGCAGGCGCCGCCATTGATGCCGCTTCGAAGGATGTTCCTGGCACGGTCCAATCGACCACCTGTGTCCCTCTAAGACCTGCCGAGGAGGTCGTCACGGAAGAAGCTCTGGTAACCATGGCGGTCGGAATAACACAGGGGAAGGATTCATCCTCGCTGCTGCCAAGCAATTCGGACGGTGTTGCCGCTGCCGGTATAGTTGATGAAAGCAGTAGTCTTCCAGCAAAACTATTTTCAGCCGGTGTGTCCGAAATAGCCTCGGCGGTGGGTTTCGTTCATCCGAAGTGCGCCTCTACGATCGAGGACAAGAATGAAGGAAGAGAAGCTAGCCCAGATCTAGGGCAGAACGCAGGGGAAAATCCGTTGATTTCGACCAGCCCCGCGGTTGTTTCCGCTGTTGAGACATCAACATCAACACCACGAGTAGCCATTGATGGAACGCCAAGCGACTCCTCCCTGAAACCGAACGGCACCTCTGTGCTACGTACCGATAACGGCGGCGATGTCAATGCCACAGCAGAAGTTGCCGAGGTGGCCGAAGTACCAGGGATGAAGAAGGAAGAGGGGTGCGAGGGGTTTTCGGCTACGCCAGTGACGTCAGCAACTTCGACCGCCAACCTTTCTGCCCGAGAACGGCTGTTGCGCCACGTAAGGGCCACGGCTTCGCCCCGTTCTGGGAGCGACGACGACTCCAGCTGTTGCAGTAGTGGCGGAGGTAGTGGCACCGACAACAATGACAGTGAAAGCAACGCCGTACGTCGACTACCAACAACCGAGGGCATACAACGCGAGCGAGATGTCATCTCGGCGCAGGAAGACGGCGGCGAGGAAGGGTGCGGCGGTAAGGTAGCTGCTGGTGGGGATGGGGGCGAGGACATCGATTTTTTCGGCGTCGCGAAACAAGAAGAGGGTGTGGGGAATTCACGTACACGGGAAGAAGGTGGTAGCGTCGATGGCAAGCCAATGACGACGCAACCCGCAATACGATGGAAAGGAGAAGGCGGAGCAGAAGCAAACAACAAGAACGATCTGGGTGTTTCAAACGATGCCAGTGGAACGCCAGACGTGCCGTCGGCAAGCTCTGCTACGCAGTTGGAAAATCCGTTGGCTGCAGCCCAGCCGGCGAGCATCGTGATATTCGAAAAGGATGGCAGTGTCCCATCTATCACTCCTGCGGGCATCTGTGGTGACGTGCATCGTGGTGAACTTGACGTTAGTGCGATTGACACCCCGACAGCAACTGGTGCGGGCTTCATCCCTACCTCAGCACATCAAACGAGCCACATTGAAGCGGAGAGCGATACCGGCACCGTAACATCGACTGATGTTGTTGGGTTGGAGGTGGACTGCACTGCTTTGTCATCAGCCGCAACACCCACGGTGGTGGGTCCAAGCACGATCGCGTCTAATGCAATAATCGACGAGAGTGGTGGTGAACTACGTGGCTCGACAGTGGATGAATCTGGAGAGGTGGCGCAAGGGACCACCAAACACGACAACGACAGCGAACAGATCCTCAGCCAGCCCGTGTCAGATTTGTCAACACCAATCCGGTCGGATCTACGTGTGGTTGGGACCGAGAAAGATGACGCAGCTAAGGGTTCTGTTGAAGTGGCAACGGCAGGAAATGAATTAACGCTCGGAAACTCGTCCGAACAAGCTAAACCCGATTCGGGTCGAAGCGACGAAGCCGCGACGACAACGCGCGGTGAGATGGAGGAAAATGCTAAGGCCGAAGCGAACACAGGAGGAGATGCCAACACAAAAGCCAGTAATGAACGTGATGGAAAGCTCGACGGGACTGAGAATGAAACAGCCCCCGCAGATCCCACCACAGAACTGGCTTGGATTGAGGGCTACGATCCAGGCCACGACTGCTACTATTACCACCACGTACCCACCGGGGAAAGCCGCTGGTACAAGCCGGACGAGCCCTACGAGCCTTATGTGCATTCTGACGACGAGGATGGCGACGGCGCAACATCATCCTCGCTGAGAGACGAAGACGGCACGCCGATCACGACCACAACGGCGGCAGCACTCGAGGACGATGATCTACGACCAGAGAAAAAGGAGCGGAGGAAGGACGACGAGAACGTCGACAACCACCACCTTCGAGGGAAGCGTGGTGGGATAGAGGAGGAAGAGAAAACAGAAGCAACAACTAGGAGGTCGTCGTTGTCTCGCAAAGTCAAAGAACCTTCGTCTGGGAAAAGACGGTCGTCCAAATCTAGCACGGCGTCGGCGGGGTCGCAAAGGCGGAGGAGAGAAGTCGACGACGGTGGTACACGAGACCATTCAAGGTCGGGGCGTTCATCCCGGCAGCAGCGCGGAAAAACCGCTCTCGAGAGGCTCAACGACTTCACCGACGACAACACCTGTGGCTCAGACGATCCCCGAAGCGATGGTTACGGCGGCGAACGCCGGAGATCTAGCGGTTCATCTAGGCGACAGGACGGCACGGGGTCGCGTCGACATCACGACGACGACGACGATCGAAACCGTTCTCGCCGCAAACACAGCAGCGGGGATGGAGGTAGCAGGCATAGAAAATCAAGAGGGGATTCGTCGTTGCGGACGGAAGAATATCGTGACGACGGCAAGCGGGACCACGACCGAACGCGGCCATCCTCTCAGAGGCGCTCGTCTGACAGCAGATATTTTCTGTTTTCCGATGGGAGTAGAAACAGTGACGACGACGAATGCGCTCTCAGGCAGAGAACATCAAGCGCTAGAGACCGCGGCGGGTCGAGGTCCCGTCGCTCTAGCGCCCGATAGCATCCGTCCAAGCAGACAAAGCAAGCCTGGGTCGGAATGAGTGGTAGATAGATGACTCAGCAGCGCAATTTATCGTTTCTACAAACTCAACGATGGGATCTTTGCATCCTAGATGCGGACCAGCGAGTGGCCCACCTCGCTTTTCGGTGTCGTACCTTACATGTTTTGGCCAAAGGGAACACGCAACAATATACCCTATTCATATAATATGTACCTGACAGGTTTTGGCCAAGGGGAACACGCAACAAAATACCCTCGTGACACAAAATATGGGCTTTATTCTGCGTGGGTGGAGATAAATGGTGCCGTGTACATTCGGTCGGTTGTCCAATGAAAATTGTCAAGCAGCCCTTCCAGGTTGCCCTACAACACGGCCGGAAAAGGAGAAGAATTAGGCGGGCAACGTTGCTCGTCGAAGGCCGTGAACGTAAGCTACACATGAAGGCTCATTAGACGTGAACCAGCAATGACTAGGCGTAATGCGCATCTCGGTAGGTGGGCTTGACGTCGGGCAGAATCTCTTGAGCAGATAACATGAAGAGAATATCTTATGATTGTAGGTTGTACTCGTTACAAATAGACGCCGGTTGACGACGGAACATGGTGTACAGACTGCCAATACCCAACCTGTGACCATTGTCGCAATAAAGGATACTTCCGCAGCAACCCGTCGCTAACCCCCTTACATATCTCAAATTTCTACCTTGTCCGACGAGCACTATGCTCACTGCAGTTTCTTCGGAATTTCCGCCGGACTCTTCGCCAACCTCGCCCGACAGCACGCCAAGCCCCTTTCACAGCCCCCCATGGTGACCGTCCGACTTTTGCCTCCCTACCACCACCCCTGCGATTCCGTCCGTCGCGACTGGCCGTGTCACGTCCTCTGTCACCCCCCCATTTGTCAGCTCTTCGGCGAGCGGCCTCCTGCGCTCGTTGTTTTTTTCTTTCCTCTTCCTGTCTCTTCCTTCTCCTGCGTCTTTTCTTCCAATCCCCGGGTTTCCACCGGGGCAGGCGGGGCAGCGCGTCGACCGCATCCATCCCTCTCCCGGATTCCTCCTCTTCGCGGGCTCTCCACCACTCTTCGTCTCGTATTTCGGAAACGACAACGGAAGGCCGAGAGGGGCTGATCGCGACAGCTTCGGCGGCAACCGCTGGAAGGCGTTCGGCGTAAGGCGTCAAGGCCGCCTTCATGGTGCCCTGTGTTGTTTCGTCGCGCGTGCTTCGGCCTCCGAAGCCCGATGCTCGCTTGCACAGCGTGCCTCGCAACAACAATAGCCCTGCCTCCTGTTCTTCCGTGGGCGTCGACGCGGTGCCATAAACTCTCACGTCCGCTGCCATCGGTTCGTCGAGCTTGCTCCAGACATCTGGTGCGGGCTGCCAGTCGAACGTCGCGCTCGAAAGCAAAGCACTGCTGTGGCCGGTGCCGTCGGAAGTGAGGGGTATGGTCTTGCTGGCCGTGTACCAGTCCCCGTGATACCCGAACGCGGCTCCCACCTCTACCCTGATCATCGGCAACATAGCCGGTGTTTCCCGTGTCGTCATCAGGTTCCAAGCGGCCAGGGCTGATATCGCCATCTGCGCCTCCGCGGGGTTTTCTGCAGTCGCTGCGGTCGCAGCAGCTGCCGTCATCTCCATACCCTCTCCTGTCGGAACGGGCTCGCCGGTTCTTCTTCCAGAGGTTGTACCACCTCCTCCTTCTCTCCATCGTCCCGTATTGTCGACTTCCAGCACCACCTTGAATACGATCGTGCCGGTGGCTGGTGTTTCATCACTATTGCTACCACCAGCATTTTGTCGTTGCGGCAATGCAGAGAATTCCACCGATGCGTCCGTGACTCGAGGAGTGCCCAGTACCAATCGTCCGGGTTCAGTTTCGAAGAGTCCGAGCGCGTGGTTTGCCGGGAAACGTCCGACTTCGTCCACGGCGACGCAGTGGCGTGCGGCCGCCTTGACGTCACTCTCCGTCGCCCTAAGCTGGATTACTCGCCCTGTGCCGCCTGCAGTCGCGGCAACTGTACTGGTGGCGTCATCGGGGCTGAGGGCATCTCGCCTTGCCTGCGGGGTAAGCGTGCCCAGTTGTGCGTGCAGGAGGTTAAAGTTGTTGTGCACAACATATATTTGGGTGATGGTTTACAAACATTGTTGTTGGCGGCAGGCTTGCGGGAGTTGCCTGGGTGTTGTTCGCCCGTAAGGCTGTTGCTCTTTTGTGTTTTACTTATGATCGTTCCACGCGCACTGCGATTTTGGCAAAAAAGGAACATGATACTTGAAATTTTCCAATAGGGTAACAATGCATCTCTTCTGGTGGGCGTTACTGTATCTGTAGGTCGCCTTAAACGGAATAGGCCACGTATCTACAATATTGACGGTCGTACGTATCCTGTAGGCGGCCACCTGGATAAACATTTATTTAGTGCCTATTATTGGGAGTGCGGTTCTTTGCAAGGTAAATGAATTCCGAGTTGTTCAAGCCTCCAGTGATGGAACGCGCTTGTTCCACCTCAGAGGAACTATTATTCTTCGTGTGATATCTGATCGGAGTTCTTTAGTTGTCGAGGAAAGGAACCCAACCTTTTGATGGTCGACCAAAGTGTCTGCTGATTTTGAAAGTAACCGCAAGAGCACCAGAAAATGCGCACGAGACATACGAGAACAGTCGGCAGGCATCGGGACAAAAGAAATCGTTGATTCTCGCACGGGGGGCAGCAGAGGCTGCTCAAAACATCTAGATCACGAGTCTCCCTTAAACTCCCCCTTTGAAGTCACGACAAAAATTCACACCAGTCTACATTAAATAAAGTCAACAGAGCCAAAACGCCAGGGGCTCAAGGAGGTCAATTTAGCATTCAAACTGTACCCAAGCACTGCTAGTATTTAGTAGAGGACGCCATGAAGAGGTGCCGTGTGTGCTGGCACGTTCAGGTTTCCTCTTGGGTGGTGACACCGAGGATCGTACAGTAGTAATGGCCTACTGCTGTAGCATACAATGTCCGCAAATCCCCGCAAATTGACCGAAACACATCAGCTACCGCTGAGGACGCGCAGGAGATTGGGGTCAATGGCGGCGAGCACAAGCAGTACAAGTCACTGGGTGCCGGTCTAATTTGCGGAGATTCGTGGAGGCCATTACTACGATCCTCGACATCACCACCCAAGAAGCAAACCTGAACGTGCCAGCACACACAAGCGCTTCATGGTGTCCTCCACTGATAACAATTCGTAGGTACAGTTAGAAATGGCTGGAAGGTTGCGGGAAGGGTTGTTTCTTTTTGTGTATTGGATTAAGTACGGATATAGAGCCAGCGTCAGGCGGGGAAAATGTATGTAAATAGTGGGTCGGGCGAGCCAGTTCACATTGACGGACGGCAAAACAAACTACGAAAATTCAAAATCAGACGGTTTCGGAAGCATTCTTGGCAAAAGTTCACTTTCACTCTCAACAGCACCGTTCCTGGGACCAGTCCCGATTTTTTCCGAAGGTTTTACTTTTAACGATGTGATGTCACGATGTCACCATGAGGGAATCTTCATCAGCACGGCCCGCAACCAAGTCACCATATCTCCCAAACAGATGCTTGCATTCGGGTGAAACCTTCAACGCTGTGTGCTCCACAGCTCCGAGGTATACCTTGCCACCAACCGAGATGGGTCTGAGTGGAGCGTTGTGAGCGTCCTGTGAGAGAGGACGCGACGTTTTCGAGCTGGAATGCATATATGCACCCATCCAGACAGGGTGTGCGCACGCAGCAACAAACGCACGCAGCACGCCCAAACGCTCGTCGCTCTTTCGCAACGCATCCCGCCGATCTCCAAGCCAGAGCCAACAACGCACAAGGGAGCAAGATGCCTTAGGATTTGTTGTGGATCATGCTGCACTATTATTGTACATCGTGTTGGGCGATCGATGCAGCCGCTGCTGCTGTGGGCGTGTGTGTGTGTGTTCGAAACAAACATGAGCGAGCTGTGGCTCGATATCAATTTGACAAGTCTACAACCTTCGTCAGCGCCGAAGCAGGAGTCCTCCCACTGCTGGCAGTAAGCTCTACGACCGACCACGGGCATACGGTGGTGGGGCGAGGTGTGCAACAGCACCCATCCTGGCGTGGTGTTGACCAAAACAGCTACAAGCTAAAGATGAAAAAACTTGAAAAAGTTGAGCTTTAATAGACGCCAGCTGCCCTTCGTGCTTAAAAGTTCTTCCTATTTAGCGTCGAAAGTTCATATTTTATGGCGGCCATAAGGGTGTGTCTTATCGGCGGAATCGAAGTTAAAAATCAGAATCGAGTTTCAGTTTAAGACTAAAAAGAGTCAGCGTCCATCTGCTCTGATTGGTTGGAATGCGTTCTTTCGGGATAAGCGAACGGATCTTCCTGTTCCTAAACTTGATCTCGAAAAAATGGCCAGAGGATTAATTGGGAGTTGACTATTGCCAAACGCAACCAACTTCGGGTGGACGTTGGGCTGTTGGGAGCGTGCTGCGGCGGTTGACGTTTTTCATCTCGCACGCTGCGCGCCCACGTGCGCGCGGATTGCACACGCTACACCACGCGCGCCCACCAAGCAAGCAGAAAGATGATGTCACAGCAGGCGAACGGCGACGGCAGGTTCAACTTGTTGCCGATTTGCCAATGGCGTGCGCCGAGCAATAGAGTCGGGATTCATGTGCCACCCGTGCCATCGGTGGGTTGGGGTACACCACCAGCTCCAGGAGCTGCCTATACGCTTGTTCGTTTTCCCTCGCTGCCACGAGCGGCTGCCCGCACGGCGGGGAGGAGAGCGAGCCATGATTGTGCGAGTGTTGTGCAAAAGGACAAACCGTCGCCCGCAGGTCGCCCACGCCGCCTGTCGGGACTGTTGGGCTGGTCGGCGTCCGTTCGGGCGTGTTCTCGATTTGAACCTCAGTTTTGCTAATTTTTCGATGAGACGCGTAGGTCGAATTTGGCTGGCTCGTTCTAGACTTAATCTGAAACTCGATTCTAATTTTTTGTTTCGATTCTGCTGATACGACACACCCTTACAGCTCTTTTCCGTAAAAAGTGGAAGTGAACTTTCCAAAACGTAGTCTACATCCGAAGCTCGCCAATGGGTTTATGTAGTCTACGCATAGACTCGACTACTTTATGTGCATTGACACGACACCACACGAAGATGGCACTGCCGACTGCCGGTCGCGAAGAGCTTAATGTAAAACGAGGTCAGCACAACGAACTTCAGCATAAAGATGGTGCTCGCAGGCACACAAGGATGGTGCACCCACAAGGACATCATCAAGACAAACCTGAGACGAACACACACAAGATGATGGTCACATGCTCTACACGTGGCTGTTTCCAGCCACACCCACCTCAAGAATAGTTGCAACACAGCTGAATCGGGCCAGTACTTGAACGAATAGTATGGCTATGGTCGTCCGCCTCATACCGCAACCACGGACGACGTGCTCATATCCACAGCGGGCGCCGAGATGAGCATCAAGCACGTGTGCAAGGCAGAGCCAGACCGGAGACCTGACCTGGATCCTCCCCCACACGGATGATATATGATTCACCGGAACCCCTCCGAGCATGGGTGCAAGTCTCTCAACGCTGGCTAGAGAGAGGTACGTGGGAATACGTGCCTAGTCACGCAGCTATGGGATACTCTTGCAGGTGAGATGCACGGAGCCAATAGTAGCGGCTGTGGTCCGAGAGTCATCATGAAAACGAAAAGGCAAAACATGTAAATTGCCTGCCAGAATTACTCCGCCGAAGGTACATGCAGTGATGTCCGACGCGACGTGCAGCGAGCATCGTGCGTCTGTGTTGTGCTGTGTTTGGGTGGGTTACCCGGTCTTGAACATATACAGTAATAGCTCTGAAATGCGTCAAGGTACAGCATGACTTTGTCTCGTTCTCTCATCTACATATGCTGTCTGACATACTCCAATGTGTTTCATGTCATCGCCCGCATGTTAGTGAAGGTGTCGTCGTGAGCATACTGCGAGAACCTGCAAGGGTAATAGCGTGTCAGATAAGACGAGCAACGCAGAAGAAAGAGGCCCGAGAACCAAAAGGAAACAGGGGGTTGGCGAGCTTGAGGCGAACATGGCCCGCCTCAGGAAGGCGATTATTCCGTCCGGATCGTAATACGGTACCGAAACCTCTCTGTATCTAGAGTTAGTGTACCAAAACCTCTGCTGACTTCTGTATCTCGAGTTTTGCTCTCGAATCGAATCGCCTGGCGGTGTTTGTCCACCCTTTTTGAACGATGCAAGGTTGTTACCGGCCGACAGACGTACGAGGTGTTCGGCCTTCCAACCAGCAGTACAGCAGTTCGTACCACAGGCTCGATGGGGTCCACCCAACAGCCGACTACGGATTCTACTGCTGTAGGATCTTTAACTGTGAGCAAGTGTTTTTGCCGCTCATGACGACTTTCGGCACAAAGTCAGGCTGTGAGCTTGCCATCAATGCAGGAGATGGAAAACCCCCTGCTTAAAGCTCACGAACACTTTAACACTCATTTACGGTTCAGCTTATTTATGTTTGGACCATTACCGAAAGATTGCGAGATATGGGGTCGATCGGCAACACAATGGGATCCGTCGAAGAGATCGCGCCGGGGTCCCCCAAACCAGCTGAACGACGTGAATTTTCACTTCGATTTGGGTGCAATGTCAACGATAACAAAAAACCAAGATTGAGTTCTCCGTGGGTGTCCCCGACCCTTCGAGCAGCTGGTTAGAGGACAAGGCAAAAGTGGGTACCCTTTCAGTGTAGTGAGGATATCAATGGCAGCGGGAAGCACATCATGAGCATCCCGCCGCCTTTTCCGGTCCGCTGACATTTATTGAAGACGCGTGCGTTTCCTATTTCTTCCCGTACCGTACATGTGCTGCTATGCCGCTGGTACCAATAAACCGTCCCTGTAACTGCTGTATTTTCACGCTACAGCCCCCACCGCGGTTAACAACCGTCAACACCGCGGGCAAGCTCGCTCATGTTGGCTCGCCAAAATACCCAACCCCAACACCTCACTGTCGTCGAACAAAGAAACGACCCCGCCACCAAAATAATTGGACGAACGTGGATCAGGCTCGGCCCCGCGGCCGGCGGGCAGGCGAAGGTCATCGTCGTCGCCAAGGAGGGAGATCCCACGCTGGTAGAGCTCGAGAGGCTACCCAATGACGGCTCGGCCTCCGTCTTGTTTCGAGGTGCGACCGTGGAGGACTTCTCGACGCCCGAGGCGCAGCAGGCTCTGGCGGAGGCCAACGTGCTCCTCAACTGTGGTGGTGAGGGCATCGGGGTGACCCATGCACCAGTGGGCGGGTGGGGCGTACTCTTGTATTGTGCATGATTAAGCGGTTAGAGCATTGACCACGCGTCCTCGAGCTGTTAGAGCGTTGTTCCCACAGGACCGAAGATCACCGATGGCCAATCGTTCCTTCCTACGTTGCCAAAGGTGGCTCACCAGTGGGCGGCGGCGCATTTTTTGGGATTTCAAGAAGTAACAACGGCGCGCGCCCATAGCAAGAAGAGAACGGCAATAAATACGAACAGGCTACTTGGTTGTTTTAATGTCTGTGGACAGGAGGCGGGGGGACAAAATGTGCGCCTATTTCAAGGAGACTGCGACTGGACGGGGGGAACTCCAAACTCGTGCATGGCCGAAATGTGTTTTCTGTTTCCGCGGAGATGCTTTGAAGCGTGAGCGTCACAATTTGGTAGCTTAGCGCCCCTAATAAGTGTTATTTAGCGAGGTAGGGGTAGGGGAATATGGGAGGTTGAAACAGGCACCTTGTGAGGCCAACGCATCCAGCAATTGTGCCAGCAAGGAACGTATGCGGGGAACAAGGCACATGACAAGCGAAGTCGGATGCACATGGTTGTGATTCCCTTGGTTGAATCTTCATTCGGGATATCTCCGGGAGTGAATGAAGCTTAGCGAAAGAGTTGTAGCCCTCCCTTCTCACCATCAACAACTCACCCCGCCCCCGCCCCATCCCGCACGACCTGGGGAATGTAGATGGAGTGTGATATGGCTACATCTGGCACATCGGACAACAGTGAGAAGCGATCCCATCATTCTGTGGGACATGACTGTTGGTTGCAGCAAAATCCAAAAAAGGAACAGCATGTATCAGGGTCACAGTATGATCCCATGCAATATTTGGCAGCAACGTGGAGAGTGGCCGGTTGTTGGCGTTGCAGGAACGGTGGTCCATCTCGAAGGGGACGACCAATAGTGGAAAGGCTAAAGCAACCCCGACTTCCCTGCCCCCGCGTGGACACCACTGACGACTCTCATCAATCTCCGGGCGCGATCCATGAACATGACGTCGCGCACTTGGCAGGAAAGAAGGACCTGTTGAGCCGGTTGTTCCCCCTGGCGCCCAAGCTGGCATGGATCCACAGTCGGAGCGCGGGGGTGGACAGCGCCCTTTTCCCCGAGTTGATCGAATCCGACCGCGTATCTCTGACTAACGCGAGGTAAGCGAAATGACGCAGCAGTGTACGACGTAATATTGTTGTCTTTGCTGTACGTAGGGGAAAGCGTACAGCAGAAATGCCAGAGTACTGTACATAAGGAGGCACACAGCAGCATTGCCAGAGAGTATTGTTGTACATAGAGAGGCGCGCCTCATTCACAACCCGTGTGTTGGCCGGCTGCTCTTCTTCCAGGTAGACCTATTTATCCACGGGATTCCATCTCTTTGCACGGTAATATATTGTACATGGTACGGGGGGGCTCTGTTGTTGTTGGGAGCGGGACAAAATGGTTGTTTTTTCGAAGACACCGCCGCCGCCGCCACCGCCGCCGCTACCTAGAGCGTCAGCAGAGATGACGCTGAGATGCTTTTCTTTGTTCGCTTACTGAAGCCCCGAAATGGCTCTTTTCGAGAACGTTCCACATCCGCAGCCCTTGCTTGATGCCGCCCTCTCGTTCCAGGTGTTGCTTCCATCTACTCACCGACACGCATTTATTTTGTGTCCAACTCGATGCTGACTGTTTCCCCCGGAAAAAAAATGGTACCGTATGCTTCTCCCCCAGAACTCGCTACAAAACCAAAGATGGCTGCATGTACAGTGAGCGAGAGGTAATGTTGCCGCTGTATCAACACACGCTCGGTCTGATGCGGGTTGGGACGGGGCAGAAAATGCGAGGAAAGGAAATGAAAGAATGCACATGTTTCACTGGGCAAACGTGAGACACACTCTCTTTGCCAAGCTCACTATTGTTACCAACGTGCATTTACGCGTACATTGCATGTACGTATGCATACATTGTAACATTTGCGTTGGTCTTGTACGCAACTTTGTCTGAAAGTCTGCGCGCGCCTTGGGTAACGCTTCTTGCACACCAACGTAAATGCTTAACGTAGGCTCGTTGCACACTAACGTTAACGTTCGTTCGAACAACACGGGGTGACGGGCCATCCCGAATACCACAGAAGTACCGCCCTGTCGCTGCGTGCTTTGACGTGTGTATTTGGGCTTGTACTGTGGCGCCAAATACAAACGTTGACCTCTTCTTCCTCTCTTTCCTCTCGCTCCTTCTCTCTGGTTTGCTCGCTCGCTCGCTTTTATGTGCGTCACTCGCTGCGGCGCGAAAGGGGGTTGTTCAGCTCGTCCCTTGCGGAGCACGCGGTTCTGTCGTGCCTGTACTTCGCCAAGGACGTGGATCGCTGGAAGAGGAACCAACGAGACAGGAAGTGGGACCAGTTCTGCGTGTCAGAGGTGCGACGATCGAAGTTTCTGGCCACCTCCTCTGCGGAACGTCTGTTTCCTACTCTATGTACGACCTCGGCATTGTTTCGGTGGTTGCGTATGTCGCATTTTCGTATTTTGTCTCGAATCTGGTCCGTTGTTCACCTCATCGCCTTCTGTCCGCTTTCGTTTTGAGCGGTCGGTGGTCTTCGTGTTGTTTTTTCTACGGGGGGTTGACCCTCTGGCTGCCTGGACACTGCGTTGTCGGGACATTTGAGTTCGTAATCCACCCCCCACCCCCCCCTTATTTTTCGCATTCAACAATGCTGTCAGGAATGGGCTACAGATGCATCCGTTAACCGGCCTCCGAAAGCAGCAACCAGACATCAACAGACCGCAAAATTACGTCCGTCGCCTAAACACCCCCCGAATTGTTCAACGCGAACCACAAAATCACACTAGGTATACACCTTGTTCGCCCGGCACCCGGGAATGGCTTGTTGCATCCCATGATCACACCTTGCCATGCGCGTCGTGTTCGGCACGTACACGTGGCCCGTTTTCCCGCGACTCATATGCGGGGCACGAACGACAAACTTTCCACGCGTAAAAAGGTGTTTGGCACCACTCTGGGGGTTGTCGGGTATGGAGACATCGGCCAAGCGGCGGCCGTGAAGGCCAAGGCGATGGGAATGAAGATCATCGCCCAGAGGAGGCGCCCGGAGCTGTCAAGGGGGGACGGGGTCGCTGACGAGGTTCTTGGCGCCGGCCAGGTAATGCTACCGAGAGGGGGGGGGGGGCAC